TATTCTCTGGTAAAAATTTCCCTGGTAGCTTTTCATTGAAGGTGAAGACTCCATTACGTGATGTTCCACACTCTTGATGATGTGGCTTCAGCCCACCTTCTCTTCTTTCTTTCCACACCTTTTTTCCTGATCACATGATTTCATGCTGTTGTGAAGCTTTTCCTGAGTTACTGACTGCAGAGCCCTTTACCAACCACAGAGAAGAGGCACCCAGTCCTGTGCCTTCCCTTGTATTCTTGTCCTCTCAATAGGTATATCACGGCTCCCATCTTCTTTTATTATAGTTATTTGTTTACATGCATTATTCATTCTGTATCACTGGCATCTCATCATATGGATTCAAGAGAATTTTTTGCATAAATATCTTTTTTTTGAGAGAGAGAATGAGAGAGTGCAAGTGAGAGCGAGAGCGAGAGTGAGGGAGAGAGAAGAGAAGAGCACAAATGGGGGCAGGGAGGGGAGGTGCAGAAGGAGAGGGAGAAATAGGCTCCCTGCTGAGCAGGGAGCCCAATGCCCGGGCTGGACCCCAGTACCCTGAGATCATGACCTGGGTCAAAGGCAGATGCTTAACCAACTGAGCCACCCAGATGCCCCATAAATTTCAATAGATATTTATTATGCACTTTCTTAAGGAACTGGGGGAAAAAAAAGAACCACCAACAATTTCTTTGTATTGTTTCAACATACTCTTTCTCTAAGATGTAATAAATGTGTCCAATTGAAAATTGAGGCAATCCTTGGTGGCATACATTGTTGGTTTCCATCCCAATGTGTTTCTGTGTTCTTTGAAAAGACGATGCAATTATGCCTTAGCTAAAATTAAATTGGCTTGATCTCTATAACCATCCTATAAGATAGTCACTAAGTCATCATCATCATCCCCATTTTATATGTAGTGGAGAAATGCCATGGTGGCCTCTACATGTACACAAATTGACAGGCTATCCCAGAATTGAAAGGCTTGTAGATCAAATTAAGATGCTCAAATCAGCTAATTTATGGAATCAACTTAAAATCTACAATGAAAAGCAAAGGGAAAGGGATTGGGTAGGTTAAGAATTTAGTGCAGATAGGTGGGTCGCTTAAAGTTCCTATGTCCTGACTCTCTTTGTATCACTTTCCTTTACCACAGGCAGTGTGGGTACAAGGACCAGAGTCAAAAGCAGAAAAGAAAGTTTAAAGATGGAAGATCTCTGGTGCCAATACATGCTTGCTCTATTGGAGAGATAAAAAAAGCTATTAAAATATGCATGGCTATAGCTATAGCTCTGTGATAACCTGGTGAGCAACAGCATGTATTTTAAGAAGTGTGCTAGAATGGGTGATACCAATGGGTGGCCAATTTGAGTTAGATAAAGCTGATTTGTGCTTTATGAATATTTAAGGTTCATTTTGTTTTCCATCTCTTTCTATCCACAAGTAACACTTTTATTTTTTTCATCCTTTAAATGTGTTTAACACATAAATGTCTATTCTATGTTTAACATGTCCTGTAGGTCTATGATATACTATCTATAGTTAACATTTCTTATGAGTTTCATCCATCCTGTTTGTTTTGCTTGATCTTTAACACAGAATCAAAAATTCTTAAGGAATGCAGCAAACACACATCATATTATAGCGCATATCTGAGGCACAGGACCATTAAACCACCTGCTCAGGATCCCCACATGTAGGGCATAGGAGAGTCAGGAGTTCAAATATAGGAAATCTAGCTCCAGAGCCTCCTTCTTAACCACCATCCTATGTCAATTTCTAATTTGCCTGAGAAAATACAGCTAGTAAATTTGACCTCAAGTCCAGGGCTTTTTCTCTAATTACTCTTTAGTCTAAGTACGCTTGGGGCTGGAGACCACTGTTGTTCACCTCTGTGTTTTTATCACTAAGCAAGGGCCTACACAAAAACTTGTTGACCAAGAGAAGATCCCATTTTAACTTTGCTTTTCTTTCAGGTTAAGTTTAAATGGTCTGAATAATACAACTTTAACATTTAAGAAAAATTAACCTTTGGCATTTAAAGTTACGTTATCTTTGGCATTTGACTTTAAACCGAATTAACCTAAAGAGATATCTAGTTGCTGGAGAGCAAAAGATAAGGAACGATGAACTGAGATCTAGCTCTGATTGCGAAACTGACCCTTTCAAAGGGATTAAGTTGTTTCTCTGTGCTTCACTTTCTTCAGTAGGAAAATGGCTCTAGTAATTCCTATCTACCTTTTCACTATGAAGTTACATTTCCTATTCTTCTCGTTACTGGGATGGCATTTAAAAAAATGGTTTCTGCATTATGGAGTAGAAATTATTTAAAAAATGTAATAAAGTCTATCTATGCATTCATATAATCAGTTAACATATTTACATGATTAAAAAATAACAAATGTTTATAACCTTTTAAAGGCACAATTTATGCTTACATTTGGACATGCTTCACATCCTGCCATTTGCTAAGTATTCTATGATTTTCCTCATGTATTTGACTTTTCTAAAAGAAAGAAAATTAATGGCCTTTGAAGGAAGCTAAAATGAATTATTATAGTACTAAAATATTTTAATGCCTCTTTTTTATTCCATACTTATTTATATATTTATGTATGTATTTATTTTCCCCCACTTACAAAAACTTTGTTCCTATCTAAGAAGTTGGCAATAACCTCAATATATGCAAGACCGTGTAGAACTCAACCTGGTGATTGTTCAGCCTTGGCTGCCTATTAGAATTGAGTGGGAAACTTAAAAAAAAAAATACTGTTGCTTCAACTCTATATCAAACCACTTAAATCAGAATCTTGAAGGATGGAATTTGGGCATCTGTTTCTAAAATATTTCCAGACATTCTACAAAATACTTGACCAATATTCTTCCAAACTGTCAAGGTCATCCTAAACAAGGTCTGAGATATTGTCACAGACCAGAGGAGGGAAGGGAGACACAAAAAGTAAATGTAATAAGGTATCCAAAGTGGGATCCTGGAATGGAAAAAAATATATCAGGGAAAATCTACTGAAATCCAAATAAACTATGGTGTTAATAGCAATGTGCCAATATTGATTCCTTTGTTGTGATTTATGTACCACAGTAATAAATAGGTTAACAATGTTAACAATAGGGGAAATCTAAAATAAAAAATTTATTTAAAAAATCTGTCTCATATAGAGCTGGAGTTGAGAATTACTTATTTAGCATCTGCTTACATTGTATCAGAAAACAAAAAGTCCCTTTGAAATATTATTGAGCCCAATTGCAATTGGCTGCCTGTGTGGTTCTAAAACCTGACTCCCAGAAACAATAGGCTGCTTAGGACAGAATACATTTCGAGAGGCAGTTTGAGGGAAATAAAATCGGTCTAACTACAATAAACATAACTGTAATAATCAAAACCCTGTTAACTATTTACTTCTAAGATGCAAAAATTCAAGAAAAAGTGCTTAGTAAAGGAGAAAAAATTACGCTCAATCCATTTCTCAGGTTAGAAAGGTAGTTTTACTTTGACATCTATGAAAGATATAAATATCTGGATTAAATATAATGTCTGAATTATGGTACCCTAATAGTTTGAGAACATTATGAGTGACTTATCTTTGCTAAAAGAATTTTCATTTCTTATCTATAAGGCCAGAAAGTTCTTTTCTGACCAGAAAGTTCTTCAGGATTAAGTTAATTTTTCCTCTCTTGCCACTCCCACCGTGGTAGGAAGGAGGCAAGGGAAAAAGATCTCCTAGTCCTCCATAACGAAGCCTACCTGGATTTAGCCTGGCCATACTTCTTTTTTCATAACCATGAAAGATATTTGTCATCTGTGTACATCTCTAGAGGGAAGTCAGGATTGTGCCTAAAGAAATCATTCTGTACCAGTAAGCATTTGACAAACAGCAAATGCCTGGAGGTGGCATTTCATAAAGTGCCATTTAATTTTTTTTGTGCTGCGTTATTTTGTTTGTAACAATGTCCCCAATTCATAATCCAGAATCCGTTTTACAATAAATGGTATTAACAGCCGGTAGCCACCCAGATTACCGTCCAGCTCCCTAACTTCATGTGACTTTAGGTAAATAATTTCTCTCCTCTGAGTCGATCTCAGTTCCTCATCTGTAAAGTGCATCGATGCTAAGCAGCATCCAATGCCCCTTTCTGTCAGAACACTGAGATTTGTAGGGGACTTGAAGAAACAAAGCGGAGGATTTTAGGATTTAGGTCTTTGGGTTCCGGTGGGCAGTAATAGTACTGAAGAAACAGTTCTCATGTTTGTGTGTGTAGAGTCTGAAGGGTAAACGATAGGGGCAAGAATTCATTCATTTGGGGAATATAAAAATTAATGAGAGGGAATAAAGGGAAAGGAGAGAAAATGAGTGAAAATATCAGTGAGGGTGACAAAACATGAGAGACACCTAACTCTGGGAAACGAACAAGGGGTAGTGGAAAGGGAGGTGGTTGGAGGATTGGGGTGACTGGGTGATGGGCACTGAGGGGGGCACTTGGCGGGATGAGCACTGGGTGTTATGCTATATGTTGGCAAATCGAACTCCAATTAAAAAAAAAAAAAGAATGCGTGCATGGGAAAAGCAGGACAGTGACTCTTTTTAAAGGATCAGCTCCCGGGGACCTTCCTGGGACCAGCAAAACAGAGGAGCGTTCGGTTGCTAGGCAACCGCTCCTCCCTTGCCCGAGGGGAGGACCCCGGTCAGAGGTGTCTAAGTCACTCCCTCCTAATTTAGCCCACCGTATCGTACGGTGCCTTCGTCTCGAAATTAGTGAAAAACGGATCCCTTAAAGGTACACACGTTTTGCAGCCAAGGTCTGGCAAGCCTCGCAGCTGAGTTCTGCTCCAGCTTGGGTTTTTCTTTTCTTCCTGTTCTAAGGCGCGATGCGGGCACCTCTCCGGCAAGGCCCCCGCCGCGGCGCGTTGCCGGGCAGAGCTGGACGCCTCCTGCCCCTCGACCCCGCCCTCCCCGGCCCCCCCGCCCCGGGTCCGCGCCCCCCCGGCTGCCCCCGGTCCCCCCGCCCCTCGGTCCTCCGCGGGCCGCCGTCGGCCGCCATGGGCTCGGAGATGGAGCCGCTGCTCCTGGCCTGGAGCTATTTTAGGCGCAGGAAGTTCCAGCTCTGCGCAGATCTGTGCACGCAGATGCTGGAGAAGTCCCCTTACGACCAGGTACCGGCCGGGCCGCGTCGGGCCTGTGGGTCCCCGCGAGGGCAGAGGGCACTGTCGGGGAGGGGGAGCCCACAGGCCGCCGGTGGTGGCTCCGGGGAGGCAGGCCCAGGCGAAGCCGCTTCAGGAGCGAGACCCCCAGCCCCCGTGGCCGGCTCGTCCCTGTGGGTGCGTCCCCCTCCCCCACCCCGGGGGGGGACCCTCCAGGGCTGTGCCGGGACCGCCCCCTCCTCAAGCTCCAGCAGCTTCCTTCCCTTTACGGGGTCCTTACAGGAACACTTAAAAAGTCCCGAATTTTAACTTTGGTGCAGAACTTTGATGATTGATGTGTACTTGCATATGGATGGACTCTGGAGCTCGCTGCCTGATGAGCTCTCAGCACGCAGCTCTCATTGTTTTTAGAGCAATCTCGTCATTGCCCTAAAAGCAATGATGTGTAAACACAGATGTGTAACTTCTCACCTCTTGTTGAAATAGCTGCCTTATTTTGGGGTGGGGGTGGGGGTGGTGGTCCAACGTTGGGATCTTTCCACTCCATGTGAAGGTTGTTGTCCAAGAGCTTTGATTGTGGGGTAGGAGTGCAATTTGAGGCAAATAATACAAGGTAGAGAAATCACAGTCCAGGAGGGGAAGAGATACATTTACTATTAGGAGCGAGGGATGGGGGGAAAGCACACCCTCCCCCCAAAGAGGGGATGATGACAATGGTTTTAAGAGAACTTAAACTATTATTGTGCTACAGTAATAAGGTGAAGTGAGATACTAAATGCACATAGAGAATGGTCATATACTCCAGTGGCAGGTAGTTCCTGGAAGAGGCAAAAAGGAGAAGGAGAAATAGGAGCAGAGCTGTGGCAGTTGGTCAGTGTTTCTAGTAAAAGCTGGTTTCCCAGCTTTTTCCTCTAGTGGTGTTCCCTTGGAGATGTTAGGAAAAAAAAAAAAGGGAAATTGAGGGAGTCACAAAAGTGGAGGCATATGTGTGAACACTGTTACTAGGCTCTGCCTTAGTTCCCAGCAAATGGATGGAGGATAACCTGTTGAGGTGAACGTTTTAACTTTCAGATGGATAGAACAATCCTAGAACAGTCCACATTTAATGGGAATACTAAACTAGATTCTTGTGTGTTGGTTCATGTTAGTTAACAGAACTGTGTTTCCATAGAGAAGCTTTTTTTTTTTTAATTTTTTACAGGATTTATTTATTTTTGAGAAAGAAAGAGAGACAGCTTGGGTGTGGGGGGAGGGGTAGAGAGAATCCTCAAGCAGATGCCCTGCTGAGGGGGGGCGCAGATGCTCAGCTGGCTCCCAGGACACTCACCATGACCCCAGCCAAAATCAAGAGTCAGTGGCTTAACCGACTGAGCCACCCAAGTGCCCAGAGAAGCATTTTTCTAAATGTGTTTTTTTTGGCACAGTAATCCCACAGATGCTGCTCAAAAACAAAAACACAAAAACAAACAAACAAAAAGATTCCACAATCAAATATGTCTGGGAACCGTTACAAAATATTGACCCCTTCACATTTGTATAATAGAAGTTTGTTAAAACTCTATGATGTACCAGACATTGTAGGCACAATGGTTTGCAAGTACTTTATATACTGTTTCCATTTTTCCATTGATTTAGGGTAGTTTCCATTCTGTGTTCCACAGAGCAATAGTCCCAAGAGCTGCTCAGTGAAAGGAAGTTTCCTCATTCAATGCATTTGGGAACTGTATATTCCCTACCTAGAGATTCAAGATTTGTAGTAAAGGCTCTGAGTTCTGAAGCAAAGAAATTTAAGTTTGCCTAATTTTGATTAATACTGTAGTTCTGAAACTTATTTGACCACTGATGACTTTTTTCCTAGAGGTCGGTCATGGGTCAGCTATCTTCATTGTTATTATACTAGGGATATGTAGTCTCATGGGGAAACGTTGTTACAGGCAAAGCAGCGCTGTTTTTATTAATGGTTAAGATTCTGTAATCTTAATAACACAATCATAGCACATTCAGTACAGTACTATGCTGTGAATTCAGGTTTAGTTTGTGCTAGGCACTGTGATCGGGATTTTATATTTGTTCAATTAAATGGCCTTTTGTTGAGTGCTTATTCCTTGCCAGGCATAAGTTGTGTCAATTAACGTGTATTTCTATGCTTAGAATAACCTTGCAAAGTAGGTAATAAAAAAAAAAGTAGCTAACATTTATTGGGTATTTACTCTGTCAGGCTTGGTTCAGAGGGTTTTATAAGTCATCTTATTTAATCCTCAGCTATTTTAGGAAGTTGGTACTATCTCCCCCATTTTACAGATTGAGAGCACTGGGGCACAAGGTGAAGTAATTTGTCCAAAGTTACAAAGTTGTAAACCCATTCTCTTTGTTTATACTGTGTGCCTCTCTGGCCCCGATGTAGCCACATTTTTTCCAAACAGTGTGTTTCTCAACTTTTCCCAGTACATTTTCCTACCTACTGTACCTTTCTCAAGATTTTAGCTAAATGGTAAAGAATTTTGACATATTTATGTACTGGGATTGAAGGCTCTGGAAAGTTCTGAAAGAAGGAAACCTACCTAATTTTGATTAAGACAGTATTCTGAAACTTATGTGATCTCTGGTGCCCTTTTTAGGGGCCAATGGACAGATATCTCCCTTATTGTCTTGGAGAGATACCATTTTTTTTTTTTTTTTTTGGAGAGATACCATTTTGGAAAGCGCATGGGCAAAGTAGCCGTGTTTTCATGAGCGGTTAAGATAGGGCTGTAGAGGAGATCTTGCTCCATTTTTTATCTAGGAAGAGTAAAATAAATAGAATAAGGACTTTGTCTCCAACTCCTGAATTAGCAGCTAAATAAGGTAAGGGCTTGGGTTATTTTGTTTGGTTTCTTGTACAGTTCTCATTAGGCCTTATGGGCCCTCTTGACAGATTAAAGACTTGTTACAAAGTATGTTTGGTGGAACTGTGATTTTGATAATGATAATGAAGAAAAAGAGGTTTATATTGGGAAATATTGCTCTTGTCCTTGGTTAACTATTTGACATGGTTAAGATCATTAGGGTAGTAGGTCTTGTTAGGTCCCGGCCTCTTTGTTATAGATTTGAAATAATAGTCTACAATGTGATACATAGTTAATGTCTAATACCATAGACATTTAAAAAAATGTGGTTCTTTGTTAGTATTTTCTTGTTATGAGCAGGGGTTGGTATGTTCAGCTCCTATAAATATCAGAGTAGGCCAGGGAGAATCAGTACCTGATCTAGAAGAAATTCACGATTTTCTTTTCCTTTCTAATCCTTTTGATTTGTTTTGCTGAGTTCGTTTATTTAAGTAGGAACTGTATATTGCCCAAACTATGAGCAGTATTTTGTCAGGAATAGATATTTAACTTGATGTTACCTTAGCAAACTGGGGTTTGATAGCTGGATAGGGCTGCTGAAAAGTTTATAGCGTTCACTTATGTTAGTTATTTTTTGACTCAACCCTTGAACATTGTGCTTTTGTACTATGTGCTCTTATTTTTAAAGTATTTTTATTTTTTAAATTTGACTATGGTTGATACACAATGTTGCATTAGTTTCGAGTGTAGTATGTAGATTCAACTTCTCTGTTCTATCCTATGGTCACCCCAAATGTAGCTACCATCTGTCACCGTATCATGGTATTACAATATCATTGACCATATTCCCTGTGCTTGTACCTGTTATTCCCATGACTTATTCATTTTGTAACTAGAAGCCTGTATCTCACACTCCCTGTCACCCATTTTACCTACTCCCTGCACTCCTTCTCTCTGGCAACCATCATTTTGTTCTCTGTATTTGAGTCTATTTCTACTTTTTGCTTGTTTTGTTTTAAATGAAATCATATGGTATTTGTCTTTTTCTGTCTGACTTATTTCACTTAGCATAACACCTTCTAGGGTCCACCCATGTTATTGCCAATGACAAGCTCTCATTCTTTTTTATGGTTGTGTAATATTCCATTACACACACATATATTATATACCACATCTTCTTTATCCATTTCGGTTGCCTGATAACCTTTGTCCTTCCACCCCCATAGGTTCCTAAACATATATTTACCTTTTCAAATAAATATAATTGCATTATGGACATTCTTAACTCATTTCTTGATTTGAAGGTCAGTTTTTTTGTTTTGTTTTTGTTTCTGTTTTTAGTATTCTCACCACAAAATAGGAATAATTATGTGATGGGGTACAACTATCGCCATAATGGCAATCATATTACAATAAATAAATGTAGCAAGTTAACATGGTGTGCATCTTACTATTTTTTAATCAGTTAAGAAAATTCTTCTTGGATTCCTCCAGGGGAGTGTTTCTGATAGTAGTTATCATGACTGGCATTTTTTATGATGCTCTCATTGTTTCAGTGGAGGAAGTTAAATGATGGAGAGACTACCAATCTATGAAAAGCTAACAGAAATGTGATCAGAGCAGAAGCAGATGGTCCTCAGCTCTGCAGTTAGCTGATTTATATTCACATGCACCTTTAACCTCATGGGCTATTATTTTTTTTGAGGCTTCTACATTTTAGAGTACTTTTCCCCCACAGCTCTTTGAATTACCATTCCTGTGTCACCAAACTGATTTTAGGACAAATGAATGACTTTGAAGCAGCACCTGGACACATGGAAGAGCAAGAAAGTTAAAATATTTTTTCTGTGTGCCAAATGGATTCATTTTTACTTTCCCCCTCCCCCCCCTCCACCCCAAGACATAAATAGCTTTTGTTTTAGATGTTATTTTTCACCCTGGGTTTTTCTTATTTTTGTCCCAGGTGAGGAGAACCTCTCTAAAGTGACTTGTTATTTGTTACTCTTTCTTTAAGCTGGTCCAGGGAGCTTCTCAGAGTACCCATTTTGGCTGACGTAAGTCCACCTCTGAGACTATTTCTTCTATATTTATTTCTCCTTTAAGAGACAGTTTTGGTATACTATCATCAAAACTATTTAAGTTGTGCTTTGTACTTTCCTTTGGGACATCTGGGTCTTATTTAATTTT